CATGGTCTCACTAGGGGGCGCTAAGCTCGATGTAGCGTTTCCAGGTCTCCACTTAGGAGGCTGCTAAGCTTGAGTAGAGTGTGGTCTCATAGGGCAGGCGCGCACGCTTGATGTAGGAGTCGTCGGTCATAACGGGTGCAAGCTGAGTAGAGTTTGGCTCCTAGGGTCGACAGCTTGATGTATGAAGTTCCTGCGTCTCACTAGGAGGCGTAAGCCTTTGATGGTAGAGAGTCATGTCTCACAGGGGTCGCTAAGCATTGATGTAGAGAGTCTCGTTCTCACTAGGGAGGGCGCTAAGCTGATGTTAGAGTGGTGTGGTCACTAGGGCTAGATGGAGAGCTGGTTACTGGCGGGCGCTAAGCTTGATCGTAGATTGGTGTGTGTCTCAACTAGCGGGCGCTAAGCTTGATGTTTGAGAGTGGGTGTGGCGTCTCCACTAGGGGGCCGCCTAAGTCGAGCGTAGAGTGGTGTGGTCTCACTAGAGAGCGCTAAGTCTTGATGTAGAGAGTCATTACGTTCTCACTTAGGCAGGCGCTAAGCTTGTTGTAGAGAATATATGGGCTCACTCACTGAGGGGCGTAAGCTTTTGTAGAGAGTCATGCGTCATCTCACTAGGGCGCGGTGCCTAAGCTTGTTGATAGAGAGTCATGGTTCTCACTAGCGGGTGCTAAGGCTTGATGTAGAGAGTATGATCTTCACTAGGGGCCTAACTTGGTGTAGAGCGGTTGTCTCACCAGCGGGTCTAAGCTTGATGTAGAGAGTCGATGATCTCACTAGGCGGCGCTAAGCTTGGGATGTAGAGAGTCATGAAATCTCCTATGGGGCGCGCTAAGCCTTAGTGTTAGAGTGGTGTAGTCTCACTTAGGCAGAGCGCTAGCTTGTATGAGAGAGTCATGATCTCACTTAGGGCGCTAAGCTTGGTGTAGAGTGTGGGTGCGTCTCACCAAAGAGACGCAAGCTTGATGTAGAGATATCACATGATCTCACTTAGGGGGCGCTAAGCTTGGTGTAGTCTCACCAAGAACGCAAGCGTTGATGTAGAGAGTCATGTCGCTCACAGGGGCGGGTGCTTAGCTTGATGGTATGAGAATAATGGTCTCAATGGCGGGCGACTGAGCTTGATGTAGAGAGTCATGGTCTTACCAGGGGCGCCCTAAGCTTGTTGTTGTAGCTGTTGTAGAGAGTTATCGGTCTCACCAGGCGGAGGCGTCGAGTGCCTGTGACGATTAGGCAGCGCTATGATCGGACAGGCGGCTCCTAAGACAACACATTCTCCATCTGCAAAGATTTTTATATATCAATAACAATGAGAAACACATGACAAGCCATTGATAAGTACTAATATAATATTTAACTTATTAAGAGCTTAAGAGACATTTATTGAA